GTGGTAGGGGAAGGAAGGAAGGGGGCAAGGTCAAGGGCTTCACATGTGCAGCAGGACAAACAATCTGATGCCTCGGAGAGTGAAGGAAAAGGTGATATCTCGAATCACAGAGGCAGAGGAAGGAAGGAGGGGGGGAGGAGGAGGAGGAGGAAGGAACAACAATTACAGAAAGGACCGAGCCATGAAGAAGCACTTCTCTGGGTTACTGCGTGGTTACTAGAAGCATATGCGACTCTCGTATACCCCTCTTCCACTCCAAATGTTCTATGCCCAATTCTGCCTGCCTGGGGGACTGTTCAACTCGTTTACTGGCATTTCCTCCCCAAATGGATAGATAAGGTGCGTAACACATCAGCGAGAGTCAACCTTCGCCTGCGGTTAAAAGTCGTGGCTTTTCTGGTATTTGCGTACTCTGCTCTTTTAGTTGCTGCTCAAAAGGGGGAAATTTTAAGTCAAAGGATAAGAGCGATCCCGCGTAATATTGTGAAGCGTCACAATATAATGCACGTTAAATGAGCAATCAACAAAGCTAGGGATACTAAATTTCTTTGTTAGGTAAGATAAATAATATCGAGTGTTTTCTTTTTCCTTCTTTTTGGATAGCATCAATTTGTATGATGCAAAAAACTTTTACAGTGTATAGTTGACGTTTTAAATGGGTTTTTGTTTTATAGTTATTTTTGTTACCGTCACAATTACCACCCCCCCCCTTTTTGCATGCACGTAACATCTTTAATCTCCTCATTGACTGTCTCAATTTTAATTTCAATTAGAAAGTGGTCCTTACTGCAGGAAAATTGGATGCACGTAACTAAAGCTACCATGATATGTACAAATAGATATTGTGTGCATCTTAATTAAAACTTCAAGAAGCATCGTAATGCGTACAAATAAAGTTATTTTGATAATTTAACTATATACTTAATGATTTTTTAATGCGTAAACAAAGCAATAAAATCCTTGTAATGAGGGGAGGCAATAGGGCAAAGGAGATAACTTAGGTATCAAATTTTATATATAATCAAGTTAAAATCAATAAATCTTAAATGTAAAAATAAGTTAAGTGGTAATAATTAGTAGCAGCCTAGCCCTAGCAGGTGATAAAAAAAATCACTTTTTCAGTGGAAAAAATACTTTGTTCAATGCTGCAGATCCTGTCGGAGTATCAATGACAATTGCAAACTTCCGATTTTCGAAATCTCGTAGAAGGACGAAGATCCTGGGCTACAATTAATAATGACGTTACTGAACTAAAATGCCCTTCTGATTAAATTTTAAAATAAAAATGAGAGCATAAATACAAGATCTTGATCCATTTATTTCCCCTTATTTAATATTTTTTTTCTTATATTATCCTTGGCAATTTTTCTCACGCTGTCTTCTACATTTAATATCCCTATTTAAATGAGTATTTTATTAAAATGGACACAATTTTTATATCATGATAATAAATAATTAAATTAAGTTTTAAAATATGTATAAATTAGTTAATAGTTAATTAAGCCTTATATTTATATTTATGTATCCTCGTACATGAGACGAAAGTGAAATTTTTGCCAAATAACAATAAAAAATGAAAGACGGGAAAAGTAAGACAAGCATGAAAGGGAGTTTCTAGCTAACCCTGAAAGTCAATGGTTACTTGTTTTTCTTTAATAGGTTGCGTCCTGCGGCCTCAAGCAGCAATCCATTGTCTATGCTGTATTTTAGTATCTACCCACGGCCGCAGGCAGCTCGCAGGCTCGCTGTCAAATTTCGCAACCTGCTTATTTGCTTTCCCGGCACAACCATCAACACAAGCCCATTTTCTGATTTCCGATGAAGAACTCCGGCAACCACACCGTCGTCGCCGTCTCCAGGTCCCCTGCCATGTCTTCTTCAATGGATCAGAAAATCTGGAGCAGGTTGCCGCCCGAACTCCTCGAGCACATCCTCTCTTTCCTCCCACTCAAAACCTTCTTGAATCTGAGATCCACTTGCAAGGCCTTCAGGTCTCTCATTTATTCTCCCTCCTTCATCACCAAGCACTCTTCATCTTCTTCTTCTTCTCAACCTTTCTCGTCGTTTTTCTTGTTGTCTCATCCCCAATTCCACTGTCAATTCCCTCTCTACGACTCTGTGCTTGGCTCCTGGCGCGACGTCTTTCTCTCTTTCTCCGATTTATTTCACATCTCTGCTCACTCTGTTCTGGTCTCTTCCTCCGGTGGCCTCTTTTGTTTGTCCGACTTCAATTCATCTTCCTTGCTTGTTTGCAACCTCTTGGCCAAATCCTCCAGAAAGATCGATCTCCCAACCTACTCTTATCGTTTGGAGCATCTTACTCTCGTCTCTACTCCGATCGGGTACAAGATATTCGTGCTCTCTTCTGAGTCAGCCTCAAACAGTGCCTTCGTTTACGACTCAGGTGCACTTTGTTGGGAACGGTTTGATTGTTCTGATTTGATTCTGAGCGACAACTATCACCAGCAAGGTGTTTTCTACAATGGCGGCTTGTACTTCACGACTCCGGAACCATTTTCAGTGGTTCGCTTTGATTTTGGGAGCGGAAAATGGCAGAGGCCCAACAGTTCACTGCCGAGCCGACTGTCATTTGTTCGAATGGTCAGTGACGGAGAGAAGATGTTATATCTTGTTGGTGGCGTAGGAAGCAATGGAATCTCAAGGAGCATAAAGATATGGGAAATGAGTGAACTGGGGAATTGGGTGGAAATGGAGACGTTGCCGGAGTTGATGTGCAGAAAATTTGTGTCGGTATGTTATCACAATTACGAACACATTTATTGCTTTTGGCATCATGGAATGATCTGCATTTGCTGCTATACATGGCCAGAGATCTTATACTACAAAGTTTCAAGGAGGACTTGGCATTGGCTTCCCAGGTGCCCCTCTTTGCCCGATAAATGGAGCTGTGGTTTTAAGTGGTTCTCTTTCGTTCCCAAGCTATATGCTCTTGTCTGACCCCGTTTCTCTTCATCTTCCCTTGTACATTCTTTCTTTATACTTCGGATGTGTGTGCGCGCGCTTTTCTGAAATCTTCTTGAGTTTTGGATCTAGTTTTGTTTGTGGACCTTGTGTAAAGATTTAAGCGTGATTCACTGTACATTTTCAAGGGATGTGACAACTTTTGTTTTTTTTTTCCCCAAATATTTTTACATTTTTTAATTTTAAAAATATCTTGATCGTGAAATATCCAAATCAAATGTGTGCTCTTATTACGCATCAACACGCAAGGATCAAAGTTTTTGCCCGTGTAATCTAATTTGCTCCAACGGATCAACAAACTCAACAGAAATATTGACATCTTTTGGCTGCAAAGATTTGTGTTGGTAAACATTATGGCTCACGATAGCATTTGGCGTATACTCAAATGAGCAAGTTAGCATTTTGTGACAAAATTGTGCTTCCCAGTTGTTGTTATCGGCGCGTTTGTTTGCCGTCTATTTTTTATCGAGCTTTATTTTTTTTTCCCGTGGAAGAACTGGATTGTCTTTATAGTTATCGACAAACAAAAGACTTTCAGAACGCGTAGCGGCGAATTCCAACCTCTAACGTCATGATCACGAATGACCTCTCAACTTATTGACAGAGTAAAATGAGTATTGTTCTTGTGCAAAAGATTAGAAAAATCCAACTAAAAGAAAACAAAAAAATATATTACCGGCTATTATTTAGTCAAATCTTATCTCTTCTAAAATAGTATTATTTGCTTATCTAGTCTCGCATATATTTAAAAGAATTGAAATTTACCAATGGATTGTGCCCAGGAGACGCCCCATAGCTCCGGCTATCTTTTCTATCACTCTCTCTGAATTACTGGGCCAAAAAATTGATAACTTGTTTAGCATACTATGATTTAGCCTATGAAAAAAGATACTGCCGTTTTATTTATTATTTAGGAGGCAGCACATAAAAGTGCCCACGTAGTTGATAATCCGAAGAGGAAATTTGGAAATTTCAGATAATAATCAGCTGGTCAGCATATTAGTGGTTTCATTTTCCCTCGACTGGTTTTAAATCAGTCTATCAGGAACTCATGAGATAAATTCCAAATGTCTCAGACGGGGCATGTATGAGACGGCATACAAGTATCCCATGTGATTGAAAACATAACGTGAGAATTTGGAAAATTCGGAGTCATCAGTCGATATATAATTGATTACATTTTCTTTTCCAATAGATTTCTAAATTCATCAAGAGAAACTTTTCTAGTCTCAACCTTGAATCAATCAATTGAAAATAATAAGAATCAAGGACATCTGCATTCTACATTTCTTACACTTTCTAATTACCATTTTAATTAATTCGAGAGAGAAGTGAGAATACTGTTGAAGTATTGTACCTATTTATGAATATCTGTAACTGTCTTAAGGCTTGAGAGCCAATGCTAAACCAAACTTGGGACTCCTCTCCAAAGCCTGGGTTTGGAAGGCGCCAGAGATTGTCAAGAATGACTTCGGAATAACCTCATGCTGCAAAAGTGCCGAAAGATTGCCGTGGTTGTTCAGTTTTGCTTTAACAAACGTCTGACCGTTGATTACGTAGGAACATCCGACCGTCAATGTGTTCTCATTTGTAGAAAATCTTCGGCTAATCTCTCCTACAACAGCTCCCCCATTTAAATGATCAAGATGTTGCAAGTACGATGCCCTCAAGGAGTCTCCCTTGTCAGCACTGAAAAAGTGAAGAAACTAAATATGTCTCCAAGGAATTTAGAGAGAGAGGGAGAGCTTAACATTGTGCTGATTCATGCCCCAAAAAGTTTGTGCCGTATATATATCTTAAAAATCAATGTAACTCTTGGAACACTTTATGAAAGGCTTCATCTCATTTATTCAATCAAAAAGATGCTTCAATTGTGCTATTTGGACAATCAATCATTAAAATACCTCAAGTACTTACAGGATTACTGATGTGCTGGAATTAGGATTTGTCAAGCTCACTCCCGCATTGTACTTTGAAAACTTTCCTGTAGCAGTCGAGAAGCTCATTTCTGCTCCAAAGGCAATGGTGGGTGTTCCAATAGTTGCAGAAAAATCAATAGGAGGGGACTGGTTTAGACCAACAGCAGTAGTAAAAGCTACGTGATCATGAAGATACTGAACTTCCAACTGCATAAAGGTAAAATTACAATTTAGCAAAGAAATGATGATATATTTCTCAGTCAAACTTCGCATCTCAATAATATAAAAGTACCTTGGTTAAGCTGTAATCAGGTAGTTGGATTGAAGCTATGGTTTTTGTAGACTGTACAATATCTGGTATTGTAACTGTCGTCAAAACCTGTCAAATAAAATAATTTACTACCAAGCAAAGCTCAGAAAATATATTTTAAATTTCAAAATTAATGAAATAGAAGCTAGGAAGATACCTTGGATTCAGTATCAACTTTGACATCAACTGTGCTATTATTGCACCTGAATTTTGCTGTCAGATCGCCAGAAGACAGTCGTCCTTTGTTCACCAAAGTGGAGTTCAAGTCCTGATGTTTGAGAGGTAAACATTACTAATACACATCAGAAATGAAGTATACGGAAAAGGGAAATTGACATACAGAGTTACAAATAGATTCAAAAATTGGTCCCCTGCCTTTTTAAAGAAGACGATTCATCCTCTAACAAGACCACTAGGAGAGGAAAAGCTAGACATTGAATTAAATATAACCAAACTGAGTTCACAAAAATCTGGCATCAATTTCAATCTATTTCCAAGGACATCGTAAGATCAGTTAGTGTCTTCTCTGTTTTAAATCGTGGTGTACGTCATGTTTTATATACTAATTTCTCCGTTAATATGGCTTCCTGTATTTCGTATCGTTGGTGACTGTGCTTTGATTGCACACTAAAAAAAAAATATGGCATCAATTAATTTCAAACACACATTCAATTGTACAGATTAACAAGAAATCACAACACACGGACTGGAACTGATATGCCAGGTGGTCATATATGCTACACAGATCTATTCATCAAAACGCTTAAATCAGGAAATAAGTATTCAAGCCTTGGAGGAAGGGCTTATGAAGCAAGAAAAAATATGGAACTAAACGGAAAATTCCCACATTAAACAGTTTTCTAATCCCATGAAGTCGGGAGTCAATGATAAAGCAATTCATGTATTCATCAGTATAGAGATCAACAGACGACAAATTTAAACGAAGAAGTAAATACAGCCAGTTTGGAATCGAGATCGGACATGAAATAAACGCACCAGAACATTACCACTGGAGGAGTTAATGGTGATCCTTTGGTCGGAGGTAAAATCCTTGTCGAGGAGATCTGCGAAGCCGGACAAATCAGATATAATACGCTCAGAAACAGAAAAGGCAAGGACCATGAGACTTACCTCTAGATTTCTGGCCTATAGCCGAGAAGAGTCCAGGTCCCTTGCTAGACATCTCTGCAGAAGGGGGGAGGAAGAGTCTGTACAGTAAAAAAACTCGAGGGGTTTGGAGACCAGCCTGGGGTTTATGTAGGGTTTCTAAAACCCTTCGGCATCGGCGCGCTGGACAGCAATTATTTTGGATATTTATAATTATAGTTTTTGGAAGTGGTCTCAGGGTGTTTGACATCACGTGAAAATATTTCTGAAAAGATTTTTTTCACAAATTAAAATAAATTTTTTTACATATTTATTTCACATATTATAAAATTATTTTAAAAATTATGATTTGATTTTCATCTAAACACTCTTTTAAACCAAAATTACAAAATGCTTTAAAATCAGACCCGTTTATTTATTGTGATAGAACAGAACGACTTCATCATCCATATTGGCGGGTGTGAAATTTTTCCTTCTTGGAAGGCACACTGAATTAATTGTCGAACAAGCTATATTCAACGTTTAGAATGCGTGATTCTCATTAATACTGGAAATTATACTTATAATATGCACTGTAACCTATTTCCACTAATTCAGATTCCCTGTAAAAGCAAAAGTCTCTAGTTTTTGGCCAGGTAGAAATATACCAAGCGGTTTGTCAGGGGCCTGTAGCCTAGTCTATACTTGGTTTGCCCTGGCTTGGTCTGTTTTAAAATAGAAAAAGGCTCAGGCCTTTTTAATAATCTGTTTAGTCTAATAGGTCAGGTCTAGGTTTTTAAGAAAGCTTGTTAGGCCTGGCCTGACCTGTTTTTATCTTATTTTTTATTTTTATTTTGTACTTATATTTAGTCTTATTTTAAATTTTAATATATAATTATAACTTGCTTCCAATAATATTAACTGTAATTAAAATTTAAAATGTTACTTATAACATTAAAATTTAAATAAATATTAATAAAAAAATATTTATTATGTAGTATGTATATTTTATATTTTTTATTAATTTATGTATTTTTTACTTTGTATTTTGGAAATTTTAAAATTACAGGCCTTTTTAACAGGCTCAGGCCACGCCAGGCTTTTATACAGGCCAAGCTCAGGCTAAAAAAAAGACCTATTACAGGTCACAGGCCAGGCTCAGGCCAGTGTGTCGCTAAACAGACCTGGTTTGTTAAGAAGAAAGCCTAGCATAGCCTAGCCTGTTTTCACCCCTAACCAACGTACAAATCTCATATCTAGTTTATTTATATAGTAGAGAAAAAATTTAATATAATTTTTTAAATATTTATAGTCTAATTGATTTATGTAAAAATTTCAAAAAAAATATTTTTTTGAATTTCAAAATTTCAAATCAATTATATTTACTACACTCTAATAATAATTGACTACATCTGAAAAGTAAATGACAACACATTTTTGTAATAATTTTTTATTTTGGATTTAAAAATTTTAGAAATATATTTTGGGATTTTTCCTTGATTCATTTTAAAATATTTTTAATATAAATTTGTTCAATTTTAAAGTATTCATTTGGTTTTTAATGTAAGACCTAATTGAAAAGTTAATAACCAGTTTTTTTCAAAGTTAATCCTAATAAAATTTCCCAATAATAATTAAGTAGGAGAGAGAGTGAGAGAATTAAGCAAGATATTTAAAATGTTTTTAAAAAAATATATTATATTAACCAATTTAATTAATATCTTTAATCTATTCAAATTAGGTAATTAAGTTATATAAATATATTGTTTTATATTTAAGCATGGCCTATACATGCCCAAGGAATTCAGCCTGGGTCCATCTTACTTTAGATTCAAACATGGCCTGCAAAAGTCGAAGAAATCATGTTGGGAGGGATGATGCTGATGATGCTTTCTTTACTCTAGGTTTCATGAGGCGTGGGCACGAATATAGTCGAGTTCATTGAGTTTGACCACGATAAAAGTGAGTCGACTCGTTGTGCATGCGTGGAGATGCAAACTCGGTCTTGACAAGCCAGGGGGTGACAATCTGGCTTGAGAAATTGGAGGGGTTATGGGGTGGAGTCATAGCACTAACAGACCAGATCCTATCAAAACTATAAAAGTAGTATACTATGCGCGATGCATTATGATTTCACTCAAAAGTGTATGGGTTGATGATGGCTGTAAATTAGATATGGAATGGAAAGGGAACTCCTTGGCATCTCAACGCCTTTTGGTTGAAGTCACTTCAGAGAGCCGGGGTCGAGGAATAACGTGCTGGTGAAGGGAAGCAGATCTTGGCTTTACACCTTCGATCCCCCGGGGTTAATATTCCCCTCGAAGCAAGTTGGTTTGAATAATGACAAGATTACAATGTAAATCATGAAGATTAGGAGTTCCCCTGCTGCTAATTGCTGAATACAGTTGCTGTTATTTGCACTGCTGATTCACTGTGTATTTTAGGTTTCAGCAGTTCTCTGTATCATTCATATTCCAGAAACAGAAAAAAAAAGTAATTGCAAACAAATTTGGATGTGCTTACAAGCTTCCAAGACATACAAAGAGCTAGGTCCGAATTTTGATGGACCAACCACTTAACGAGAACATGGATGGAAGTGATGAGATAGAATATAGGAAGCATCTCCACTTTTAAAATTACTGCCAACGTGGATAAGAATAATAGTAAATCCGGGACAACGAAAGAATTTTTTTTATAAAAAAAAAAGTATAGATTTTTCTCCACATTTGTAGCCTGATTATTCTCTAAATATAAGCAACTAGTTAATCTTGGAAAATAAGGGGAGCGGATTCGCAGTTCCCATTCCCACAATTGATGGGATCAATGAGAACAGAGCAAGAGCGAGCGGGTCGATCAGCACAAGAAAGGTTGAGAAAGAAGCAAACATTTCAAGCATGGAATCCACGTGGCAAAATACCCAGGAGAGGAACCCTCCATGCCGTAGTATCCAAGCACTGCTTTTGCTTGCAAGATTGTGAACGAAGCCAAGCGCCACGAGTGCCGCTCCCAGAAGGCAAAGCTCATAACTAGTAGTAGTAGTACTGTTACTGTAGTACATTTACTTTCCAAAAACAATCCTGGGCAGACGCTTAAAAGACACATCGCACGTGTTTGCTTGGCGATAGTTTGGTACGGTCAACATTGAATCCCTGCACGTGCCAGCCCATCCCCCGCGGAGAGGCAACACTATTATGATGCACCGTTATCTCTATTCGCATCCCATATATTTAGCAGGACCCTCTTCCTCTCGAACCTTACCGAAGAGATTCCTTTGGCTCCCTAAACCCCCCATCAATCGCTGTTTCATAGTTCCTCTTTTAGTCCGACGCCCAGGAGACTCATGGGGACGGAGAGTCCGGTGAATTTCACTTACATGGGAAGGAGTATCAGCGAATTGACCACCAATGATCATTCCTCTTCTGCTTTCAGCGATTGCAACAGTGACAGATCCGGTGAATTTCCGACGGCCTCTTCCCAAAGGCGAGACCTCCTGATTGCTTGTGCGTCCGACAATTCCGATGATTTGATCGTTCAGCTGGTGAATGATCTCCAGTCTTCTTCGATCGATGACCAGAAGCAGGCCGCCATGGAGATTAGACTGCTGGCCAAGAACAACCCGGAAAACCGTCTTAAAATCGCCAAATCAGGCGCTGTCAAGCCGTTGGTTTCGCTTATGTCTTCGCCTGACCTTCAACTCCAAGAGTACGGCGTCACCACGATTTTGAATCTCTCACTGTGCGATGAGAATAAGGAGCTTATAGTTTCTTCGGGAGCCATAAAGCCTCTGGTTCGAGCACTCAAGACAGGGACGTCAACGGCAAAGGAGAACGCGGCATGTGCCTTGCTTCGCCTCTCGCATATAGAACAGAACAAGGTGGCAATCGGAAAGTGGGGAGCCATTCCCCTGCTAGTGAAACTTCTCGAGAGCGGCAGTTTCCGAGGGAAAAAGGATGCCTCGACGGCGTTGTACTCGCTCTGTTCGGTGAAGGAGAATAAAATAAGGGCGGTGCAAGCCGGAATAATGAGGCCGTTAGTGGAATTAATGGCTGATTTTGGATCAAACATGGTGGATAAGTCAGCGTACGTGTTGAGCGTGCTGGTATCGGTGCCGGAGGCGAGAACGGCGTTGGTGGAGGAAGGAGGAATTCCGGTGCTGGTGGAAATCCTGGAGGTCGGGTCGCAGAGACAGAAACAAATAGCAGTGGTTATACTATTACAGCTTTGCGAGAGCAACGCCACCCACCGCACTATGGTGGCTCGCGAAGGAGCCATACCACCGCTGGTGGCTCTGTCGCAGTCCAGCGCCACTAGCTCCAAGCATAAGGTTTGTGCAGTAACATTATCCGGGTCATTGATCGTGCCCATTTCTCCGGTTGTCACTGACGTGGCACTTCCTCTGCCGCCACGTCAGTCTCCTCGGATACAAACCTTAACTCGCCATTAATTTCCTTGGTTTGGGATTTTGCCCCATGTTTAGTCTACCACCAATAATTACATGTTTAAAAAAAAACATTTTTATGGGTAAAAAATTTGTGGTTTGATGTTATTATTTAAACAGTAATAATTGTCAGGGGATTACAGTGTTGGATTTTTGTCGCTCATTGTTTGTGTGCGTGCTGACAGGCGGAGACACTAATAGAGCTTCTGCGGCAACCAAGATCCGGCACCGCCGCTGATTGTGCGTCGGAGGTCTCAGCCTAAGCCCCACCGCTCGTGAACGTCTCGGAGGAGGGAAAAAAACAAAAAAAAAAGAGAAAGAAATGATATTGTAAATGTCTTTGATACGGTAAAGCTTTGTAAAATTTGTGATGAATGAGATGAGTTTCGTTTTTTTCTGTTTGTATGGGCTGGGATGGTAACGCTCCTCCACCAGTTCTGTTTGGTTTCATTGTACACATATCTAGAATCCTTCCTTTTGCGTTGATTGGCATTGTTGGCACCATCAATAAAATACTATACTGATTTTATTTTTTTAAAAATTTAAAGAAGAAATTCTCAGTCAGAAGTACCAAAACGCCCTGACAGGTGAAGAGGAAGGGGGGGAGTAATAGTTGGTTTTGGTTTTGTTAAGGAAAGCGTGTGCGCGTGAGTGTGATGATTTGGAAACGGTCCACATGAACCGCGTGGATGAAAGCAGCCAGGAAATGAGGGGTTCGGGGAGGTTTGATAAAGATTAGAGAAAGGAAGGGAACCGCGGAAGCGCGACCTTTTATTTTGTATATCCATAAATTAATATATTATCTCTTCATTATGAAAAAGCAAATTGATTCCCCTTGTGGACCCCTCTTGCTTGGCGGCTCTCGTTCTTTTTTCTCTCTTTACGCTCCCTTCCTCTTTCATATGTTTATTACGTGTTTTTAAGCCTTTAATCCTTTTCCGCTTTAAAGATTTGTTTTAAAGTATATTTTTCCTATGATCTCCTCGCATAATTAGCGAAGACTTGACTTTGCCCGTCTCACGTCGCTGTCAAAAGATGCATGGAATATGTCTCGAAGCCACAGAAGCTAAAACAGTAAAACCAGTGAAAAGACAAGTCGAAGATATGAGATAACTTCTATTATGTGTTGAAGGGACATGCAATCTGTCATTGGATTTGGAGCAAACAAAAAGGCGAGTCTACTTAAGATGTACCCGATCACATTATGCTTCAACGTGTTCATTCCCAAGTCGCCACACCTGAGATACGAGTAACATGAATGTGTAGGACGAAAGAACCTTTGACGTTAGTGAATTCTCATCAACTCTTGCTAAGAAATTCATTAAAAATACATTAAGGTAAGAGGAAGTCTTGTATTTTTATAACTTATTGCAAACCAAACGGCGTAAGTGGCTTCCTTTCTCTTTTTTCCTTTTTTTAGACATAAGTGGCTACTTTTGTTTATAAAATCATGATCAATTATATTATATAAAAAAAAATTAAGTATATAGGGGCAACCGCGCACACCAACCACACAATCAAAACTCAACAATATTACTCATGCTCCTTAATTAATTAGATTTTATATTCAGGACAAAAGCTGCCGTAAAACTTCCATGCAACAACTACTAAATGATTGCTTTCCTTTATTTTTACTTTTTCGTCATAGTGGTTGCCTTCCCTGTCCATTCAAAGAGTAGGTTACTTGATATAGATGGCGCTACCTTCTATTTTTTTAAATAGGTATAGGTATCTTCTTATTAGAAATAATTCTATTCAAAATATTACTCCTCCAGTCTTTAATATAGGACCTAATTGTTGAGTTAGTTTTGGTCCTAGATATACGACCCATTTATCATATTTTTTAATTTTCTTTAAATTACCCCTATGGATACTCCCTCAACCATAATCAAGTACAAGAGTAATATGGGTATTAAGAAAGATAATTATGGTGTTTTAAGAAAAACGTGTCACATTTTTTATAATTAACTAACTTACCTTATTTCTTTAATCTAATCAAATTAGTTAAATAGGTCTTATATTAAAGACCAGAAGAGTATTAGAATATCTCTCTTAGTAAAAATTCAAATCTTGATTCATACGACGGATTAGTATTTTTGTTAGATTCAACTCCATGCACGGGCTACCTCCCTTTGTCCATTCAAGCAGGTGACTTGGTGCAGACGGGCGCGTGGCCTGAAAAGGGGCTTGCGTGTGTTGCGATGTGAAAACTCACAGTCATACCAATTCTTAAAACTCACAAATATTAAAAACCAAGTTCTCAAAATCACTTAAAAGAGAGCACCGTCATAAGAAAAAACTAGAATCACGGAAGGCAAACCCACTTTTTTCTGCATAAAGAAAATAATTTTCACAGTCACCGGATCCATTTGGATAGAACCAGTTTCAGTGCTTATCATTTTGATGAGTACTCTAAACTCATCAAATCTGAATCATTTATATATCATTTAGATGGTTAAAATTTAATTTTTTTTATTTTTTTTATTCAAAATAATTATTTTAATATGAATAGAATTTAAAATGAAGATAATTTTTTAACTATTATTCTTTCAAAAAAAATAATTTTTCTATTTGAAAATAATTAATTAAAAATTTTAAATATAAACCATTCAAATTAAATATAAATGATACAGATCTAATGAGTTTAGGATACCTATCAAAATGAAGATTATTAAAGCTAATTCCTCCCTTAGCCACATCTCATGCACTGAGGGCTGTGCTTTTATTTTGGTATGACGTCAGTTAAGTTTCCGGTTGGTTAAATGTTTTGTTGGATTGTGACTTGACCTGGTCGTTAATTACAGTCACTTGGTGTATAATGTGATGGGTTCACCTGACCTTGTCAAGCCGAGTGGATCCTTTTTTTTTTTTTTGGGATACAGAGGTGGATCCTAGTTCTATGCATTTTTTCAAAATCTTTTAGACTTTGACATCTTCCATTTTTTAAAAATGCAATTGTCATTTTAAATATATGATTATTCATTTTTTAATTGATTCTTTCAATATCTACCCATGGAATAATGCCCACTATTCCATTTTCTTTTCCAAGACCAGTGCAGCACGCGAAGAAAATTGGAAGGAAAAAAAATCAAAGAAAGAAGAAGAAGAAAAATCTTTCTGCTAAAATATAAGGGATAGGCAATTAATTTACGGATATTAAAAAAAATAGATAAACTAGTTATTTATAATGAATGCGTTTTGGTTTTTCTAAATTACTCTCCTTAATCATATGCATTGGAAATTGAAAACATTCCTTGATTGAGAGTCCTATAGATACTATAAACAAAAAATTATAAATTTATGAGATAAAGTATGCCGAGATTTTGTATTTAAGATTAAAATCAACCTTTGTTTGAGTCTTATATTTAAAATTAAAAGTGTCGGTTTTTTTTTTTTTTCATTGTAAGGAGACCCATTCTGTGCGTGCTCATCCGGTGGTTATCGATTGAATTGAGTCCGAACTTTCTTGCGTTTTCACTTTGCGTATTGTCCTCGTTCAATGGCTCTAAATGAAGATACTGAGAATCAAATCAACAAGAATCTCATGATTTCAATTGTCAAGTGTGTATTACCGCACGCACGCACATTTAATTTAATTTGTGCTCCTCCAATGCATATTACGAATTTGGTTTAACTATGTTAGATGGATGAAAAATATTAATTAAAAAGACCTGTATCGTGCATCAGAGGAGTACTGATAATTTTAGAGTTCGTGGCAGTGAGTTATAGTTATTGGCATAGATGAAAAAGGTCCTCGGCAATATAATAGCTTATGTTATTTCGGCTCTGGCTTGTTTGTCCGTGTCTCTCCAAAAACAAAATTACGATCGTTTTTGTTGCCAAACAAATTAACATTGACATGCTAATTGTTTTGATCATCTAGCGATTTATCCATACTCATGACTCAGTAAAAAATTACGAAACGATTCTTACTTTTGTTAATTCGGTCCTATCATAGATATCCAGCCGAGTTAGGTCCGACAGGGACACGTTGACTAGGATGGAATTGACAAAATGACCGCTCACTCTATTCAACTGCCGCATGTTAAAGTTTCTTCAATCTTTGATTATGATTCTTTTTTCTATCTTCAGAGATATTTTGGTTAAGTTTTATCTTTCAGGAGAAGTCATTATTTATGCAGAACCAGATTTTAATATACATGATTGAAGATGACCAAAGTAGAATTTGATTTTGCGTAATAAATTAATTCTTCCACCAATGGGCGTCTAAAAGAGGAGAAGACAAAGCGCCATGAATTTTATACTAATTTAGTTTACTTGCACGGAGAGGAAGCAATCCTCCCAAGTCCCATCCGACTTGCCAAGAAGCTTCATTACACACAATAAGACACAAAGGACAAAGAACAATAGTGGGTTCCTTTTTTTTTTTTTTGTGGTGTTGAGGTCATATTAAACACATCGTACAAAGGCAACTTACCTAATCAACCAAATAAATTAAATAAGGCATGCAATGATTTAATCCCCACATCCAACCTGAGAGCCAATTTGAAAAGAAGAGGGAGTGAATTAGTTGGGTTGGTTGCATCACACAAGAAGAATTAATTGAAAGAGTGAGGAAGACGAAGCACGAACGTATCCGCCGTTTCAGTATGAAACCTACACAGTAAGCAAAACAAGCGAACACAAATATTTCATCACGAATTAAACGTGACTTTGTGAAAGCCCCCACGCCCAGGTACAACCTGCGGCTATTTATGTTCTTTGTTTTAGTTGCTAACATTATACGCCATTGTTTGGTTTTGTTTTGTTTCCACACACATATGGTGATCGATCATGATTACTTCGCAATTGATTACGGGTGACCAATAATGAACCACCCCTATTCACTGCTTCCACATTATTCCGTGTTAACCATGTGCAAAACACTTACAAATATCCACCTATTTATTGCACGTGCAAAAAAAAGATCTTAAAATGATCACTCATGAACCATTAAGCTCATTCATCCCATCAAAATTATACCCGCAAAACAAATAATTCAGATTCTGTGTATATTTCAGATGATATTGTGTTGAATACAGAAACAACATAGCATTTTTTTTTTTTGTTGGGTATTGGAACAACATGGATAAATTATAACCACGAAAAACATTGGCTATAACAAAGGACGAGATCGAGGCCCAATATCTTAGTGGGCTTTCTCATGAACCATTCCGCAGAAGTAACCTGGGCCTAGTCCGCTTGACGAGGACGCTGCTTGGCATGGTGGCTCTTTCGCCCATATCTTCAAAGGAAAACTGGATCATGGATAACCTCCATCTCAATTCCCAATTATACCCTTAATTTCACAAATTTTAAAAGCAGAAGAACGCAATATTGATTATTAAAATACACTAAAGGTGTGCCAGGAAAGTTAGAAGGAATTAAACATATTAAATTATGTTTCTTAATTTGCGTACAACGGTAAAAACCTTAAAACAAGAGATTTTTTTTTCCCACAAAAAACGGAGGGAAAGTAATTTTGGAGGAGAGGATAATAATGAAGAAAATGAAAGCATATATTCGGAGATGCCCGACAA